CGACATGCCTCAGCCATAAACTGCACTGTTTTCCACCAATTTATCGTAATCTCTAGGATGATTCTCACAATTAAAGAGGTTGCGATCAATGTTTAAAATGCTAAAATAATACTTGTTGTTGTTGTTAAGTGCCTTCGAGTCGGTTCCGACCCATAGCGACCCTGTACAGGGTTTCTGAGGGTGTAAATCCTTACAGGAGTAGAAAGCCTCATCTTTCTCCCGCGGAGTGGCTGGTAGTTTCGAACCGCTGACCTTAAGGTTCGCAGCCCGATTCGTAACCACTACGCTACCAGACTATTACTAGTTATATAGGTTATTTTGTTCTCCAGTCCAAGATGCAGCAAATATGAGTGTCACAGCTTTGCAAAATATTCACATTTTAATTGCACTGCTCATTGCAAAAATCTTAAGCTTTCTCGACAACTGTATTGGAACTAATGCTGTAAGTTGCTATTGTAACTTACAAATAACTTCGAAGTACAGCACAGAGGATGACTCAAGGGGAATAACACAGATCCCAGCTGGTGGAAACCCCAGCCTAAGCATGCAGTATTTGTACATAGAGAGCACATTGTAGCTACTAAAGGGGTCACCTGTGACTTGAATATTTCATTCTTAGAATGTTGTTTATGCTTCCTTGACCATGCCATCTGTGAGAGAATGGAAATTATTCTCAACACCTGTCAATGTTTCCAGATTTATCTTCCTTTGAAGTTGGCCTGGAACCATCATTAAATGATACAGTGAATAATTCTTTTAATGGAAGGGGAAAAAGCTGGCAATTTTGTCTTTCAATTATATTTGGTTTGGGTATATGTTAAAAACAGTCTTTAACTCCTGAACACAAACCAACTCATGGCAGGGACTGTGGAGATGGTTCTTGTAGTTAAAGATGAATTGAGACACCAGATATGCTGAACTGAATGTTTTTTTTGGAGAACAGAAAAATGCACGGTGCCACTATATACCTATTAGAATGGTTACCCCCACCCCCTAAACTGACAATACCAAATGCTGGCAAGGATGTGGAACAACAGAACTCTCAGTCACTGCTGGTGGAAATGCAAAATGGTACACCTGCTTTAGAAGACAGTTTGGCAGTTTCATACCAAGCTAAACATCATCTAATCATATGATCTAGAAATCAGGGCCTAGAGATCTACCCAATTGATTTGAACACTTCAGTCCCTGCAAAAATCCGTATGTTTTTTTCTGCTGCTTTATTCACAATCACTAAAAACTAGAAGTAACCTTTAGTAGGTGCATGGGTAAACAAACTATCCACACAATAGTGTATTATTCAGTGACAGAAAGAAATTAACCATCAAAACACAAAAAGACACAGAGCAAACATAAATGCAGATTGCTAAGCATCTACATACACTGTGGATCCAATTAGATAGTATTCTAGAAAAGAAACAACTACTGAGATAGTGAAACAGACAAATCTGACACATGTTAAGTGAAAGCAGCCAGATACAAAAGAGTATACACCTGATAAGAAGAGAGGGCAGATGCACAAGAACACCCACACTTGCAGATAATACCCACTTGACCTGGCTTCAATGACTGGATGATCAGAGCTCAACTAGAAGAAGAAAGAAGAGGAAAAAAAGAGTAGTCTGACACAATTTGATGAACTTGACCTACACCTATGGATGAAATAGTTCAAAAGAGGGAATAAATCTTTACAGCGAGGATCATTCCCATCCCCTCCATACAGAGAGTAGACAGGGATGGGCAACTTGGACATTGGCTACCCAAAATGGGCGACTACAAAGGCAAGAAGTGACTGGCTTACAAGCTTTCAAGAGGGAGCCTAGATCCAGAGGGTGCGGAGGAAGGTAGAATCTCTAGTGAGTAGTATCCAATCTGTCTGGGCGGGGCTAATGAAACGTGATGATGATGATGATGAAGGGAAACAATGATTGTGAATAAACCAGCAGCTAACATGAAAAAAGAAGGGAGTCTGGGAAAATAACTTGAGTTCAGTCAGTTTAACTATTTATTGAATTTATGTTATGTGTCCGATTTACTAGAAAGAAAAATAATTAAAAGAAATACCAAAATATATTTTTACTTGGCTGCACTTGACTAAACTTGGATAAAGCATGATTTCCCCCTTCATCTTCTTTTACTTCCGACCATAAGATATTTCTTTTGTAGAGAGCAAGAGGATTTAAAATAATCTCTGAAGAATACTCCTCATAACTCCCAGTACTGGACAAGCACAGACCTGCCTCTTTAAGATTTTAGGCTCACACAGTGATTAATATTTAAGATTATGAAAGACTTTGCTAAAAAGACTATATGTAATTGAGAATGATTTAGAAAATCACTTTTTTCTTAGCTACCTTCCATTAACCTTTCAATAGAAAGGGGGAGAGGTGTATGCTTATGTGTGAAGGGAGTGCTGAGACCAATTTCAACCCTGTCATCAGGGCAATAAGCCTGCTGTGATTCTCTGAATCACTCAGTAAAGCTGGGAATAGCTTGGCCTTCTTTGTGCCTCACTACCAACCCACCCACCCACCTACTTCCATCCAGTCTATTATGAATCACAGTGACCCTATTTAGGACAGAATAGAACTGTCCCATTAACAACCTGTGATACGCAGATGATACAACCTTGCTTGCTGAAAGCTAAGAGGACTTAAAATACTTTCTGATGAAGATCAAAGACCACACAGCCTTCAGTATGAGTAGCACCTCAATGTAAAGAGAACAAAAATCTTCACCATTGGACCAATAAATAATATCATCATAAATGGAGAAAAGATTGAAGTTGTCAAAGACTTCATTTTGCTGGTTCCACTATCAACACTTAGGGAAGCAGCAGTCAAGAAATAAAGTGACGTATTGCATTAGGCAAATCTGCACAAGAACTCTTTAAAGTATCCAAGAGCAATGATATCAGTTTGAGGACTAAGGTTCCCTGACCCAAACTATGGTATTTTCCATAGACTCATATGCATGTGGAAATTGAACAAGGAATAAGGAAGACCGTAGGAGAATGGATGCATTTGAGTTTTGGTGTTGGAGAAGAATACTGAAAGCACCATGGACTTCCAGAAGAACAAACAAATCTGTGTTGACAGATTTTAGAAGTCAGGATGACGAAACTTCATCTCTCATACTCCAAACATATCAGGAGGGAGTAGTCACTGAAGAAGGACATTATGCTTGCTAGAGTGGAAGGTCAGGAAAAAGAGGAAGACCCTGGATGAGAGAGATTGGCACAGTGGCCGTAGCAATGGGCTCAAGCATAAACACTGTGAGGATGGAGCAGGATTGGGCAGTGTTTCATTCTGTTGTGCATGGGGCTTCTGTGAGTTGGAACTGACTCGCTAGCACATAATAACAACGTAGGGTTTTCAAAGCTGTAAATCTTTACAGAAACATACTGCCAACATCGTTCTCCCATAGAGTGGTTGGTGGGTTAGAACTGCTGACCTTTTGGTTACTAATAGAGCATTTTAACTGCTGTGCCACCAGGGATCCTTCAACATCAACAGGACTTTTGCTTTAACAAATTAAAATTACAAAATCATATAAACATTTCCTATGCCTGCTGTGGAGTCCTGGTGTGGTGCTGTGGGCTAATGCATCGGACTGTAAAGTAGTTGGAACTGCAAGGGTGATGGTTCAAGCTCACCAGCTACTCCTTGGAACCCTATACAGTGTCGTTATGGGTCAGAATTGACTCGATGGCACTTAACAACAACAACATTCCTGTTGTAGAGCCCAAGTCAAGTGCTATTGGGTTGATTCCAACTCATAGCAATCTTGAATAGCGTTTCCAAGGAGGAGCTGATGAGTTTGAACCACCGACCTTGTGGTCCAAACTGGCCTTGCTTCATCCCACAGCATCACACCAGAACTCCCAGATACCAAGAGGATTTTAAATAATCTCTCAATAATACTCCTCATAGCTCCCAGTATTGGACCAAGCACAGACCTCCCTCTTTAAGAACAGAAGACAGAATAAAATCACCTGAAACAGGGAAAAATCCTGTAGTCCAGGAAAGACAAACATTTTGAAGAATCAGAACAAATACACTTTCTGCTTTGTTAACGACTATCTTGTTATCCAACATTTCGCATTTAGAACAAGAGTAAAAGAATCTACTATCCAGTGATTTTGCACATTAATGACGTATGTCTGCAGTAATGAGCACTGAGGTGTGAGGTGGGAATACCATGGCTGTGATGATTACAGTTATGTGTCAAGGATGCTGGGCCTCGACTCTCAGTGGTCTGCCAGCTACGTATTGATGAAGTTCACCAATGAGATAACGATGTAGTCATTTTCCATTTTATAATCTGATACAGTCATCCTCCATTTTCACATAACACCAACTGGCTCAAGGGTAGAAACATGTTAACCATGCCAATAAGTGAGGAATGGGTGAAGTCACTTGTAAAGCAGATCCCATAAAAGCAGAAGAAAACATAAAGTCTCATACTGAGGTTCAAGGAAAAACCTACCAAATTTCAAATAAGACATGATGAAAGAATTTTTAAGTTCTATGGAGTGGGTTTTTATAACAGAGTGGAATTAGATCAGAGCTCATGTAACTAGCTCTGTGTGTAAATACACTGGTGGAAAGAACTTCAGGATACGGTGCAAATCCTACAACTAAAGAAGCAGTAATCTTTTCATAAAGTACTTCCCTCTTGATTTCATTTCCATATAAAAACAAGCTTTATGAAAACAAGAAAAATATATCCATTCCACCGCATTTAAGCAGTGAGCATGGTCAGAACTAGACACAGATCACACAGAATCCAGTATTTCTAACATGTAAAAAAATGCTTTTGTTAATCTGTTGGAAATTTTGGATCATCTTCATAGAAAATTGTACAAAACACAAGATTCCGGGACCTCTAAAGTCCCCCAGTTCTAGGGGTCACCATTAGTCCATTACACCAGGTTGTTAGTGCCATCGAGTGAGTTCCTTTAATAAGCTTTTATTCAGAGAGCAGCAGAGGGTACTTACATTGTAGAGAGGAATCGTCTTCATCACTTTGTACTGTTTAGTGGGATCCATCTTATACAGGTGACGGTCAGTGACAAAAATAGCTCGGTCTTCCACCTTACTAAATCGATTCACCTGTAAGAAAAACAATTCAACAAAGTTGAAGAGTAATGATGAACCTGCAAAACCCTTCATAACACGTGAACCTGGAGGACATTATGCCGAGTGAAATTAATCAGGCACAAAAGGAAAGATATTATATAAAAACTCAAGAAAAACTTTCCATAATAAAAGATACATTCTTTGATGGTAACCAGGGGTAGGAGGAAAGGGAGAGTAATTCGCTGGCTAGAGGACAGAAACATGTTGACTTGGGTGACAGGGAGGGCAACATACAAGAAAGGGGAGGGGAATATACAAGAAGAGGGAAATTGGCAGAAGAATAATGAAGACAGGTGAAGGAAGACACAGGGTTATAAGGGATAAAGGTAAATAGTGATATATACACAGCCTTGGAACCAACAGTGTTCTGTGTGGAGCTACAAGGACAGAGACATGGGTTAAATGGGTATGGGAGGAAGAGTGGGATATATATATATACACATATGTTTATATATCCCACAAAAATATGAGTTTGAAAGAGGATATTTGTACACGGGTAGCCACAGGGAGGAAGCGGGACAACTGTGGTTGCATGGAGGGGATTGCAGTATTGAGATGAAACAAAGCATATGATTTGTTGAATGTAAAACTAATGATCTTGTCTGTAAACCTTCACTCAATTCACACACACACACAAAAAGATAAAAAAATCAATAAGCCATAGTTGTTGTTGTTAAGTGCTGTTGAGTTGGTTCCAACCCATAGTGACCCTGTATAGGGTTTCCAAGGAGTAGCTGGTGAGCTTGAACTGCCAACCTTGCAGTTCAAACAGCTTTGCAGTCTGGTGCATTAACCCACATAAGCCATAGTATCTCATCATAAATGAAACCAAGTTATCTGTCTGGAAAACATGTAGGGGCAGAGGTGGCTGGTTGTGTTCATGAATGTCAGGTATGATCTACTTTATTGGATGGGCTAGAGACTAACAAAGGAGTAGTCATTTCAGACTTGTGGAATTCTACAATGTAATAGGAAAAACACATAGAAAGTGCAAAAGGTCTGGAAACAAGTAAGCTGGATATCATCAAGTAAATAAAAAGATCACCGATACAATGTTGTTGTTGTTAAGTACTACTGAGTCAGTTCTGACCCACAGAGACCCTATATAGAGTTTCCAAAGAAAGGCTGGTGGGTTTGAACTGCTGACCTTGCAGTTAGAAGTTTATTGCTTATCTTATAGTGCCATACCAGTACTTCAGTCCAGAGTGGGAGAAAATTTCTGCAAATCATGTATTTGTATAACCTTGTGCAGATGATACAAGAATACAATTTAATAATTAAAAGAAAAATAGCCCATCTTCCGAACTTAAAAAAAAAAAGGGTAATGGATTTGAATAGATATTCTTTCCAAAGAAGATAAGTTGTCAACCAGCACATGAAAAGATGTTCAATATCATTAGTCACTAAACCCACAGTTATTGCGAGGATTCTTACACTACAAGACAGAACTGCCCCATGGGGTTTCCAAGGTTGTAATATTGGACTCTTGTAGGATCAGCACTGGACTGTGTACCACAAGGTCATCAATTCAAATCCACCAGAAGCTCCTTCATAGGGCTGCTACTAGTAGGAACCTACTCGACAGCATTTAACAACAACAACATTCATGGAAAAAGCAGCAAGAAATTAAACAACATATCTCATTAGGCAAATATGCTGCACAGGATGTTTTTAAATTGTTCAAGAGCAAAGATATCAATTTGAGGACTAAGTGTGCCCAACCTAAGCCCTGGTATTTTCAGTTGCCTCATATGCATGTGAAAGTTGAACAATGAATAAGGAATTGGTGCATTTACATTATGGAGTTAGAGAAGAATTTTGACTTCCAGAAGAAGAAACAAATCTGTGTTGGAAGAAGTACAGCCAGAATGCTTCTTCAAAGCAAGGATGGTTTGTATCTCATATCTTGGACATATTATCAGGAGGGCCCAGTCCCAGGAGAAGGACATTATGCTTGGTAAAGTGGAGGGTCAGCACAAAAGATGACCTCCCAAGAGATGGATTGGCACAGTGGCAGCAGCAATGGGCTCAAGTGTAACCATTGTGAGAATGGCACAGGACTGGGAAGTGTTTTGTTCTATTGTGCACATTGTCACTATGAGTCAGAACTGATTCAACAGCACCTAACAATGGGAGGTTTAAAGGATGCAGGACTTTATTTTAGGTTAATAAAAATGTTCTGGAATTAGATAATGACTGATGCATAAATATGTTGTTGTTGTTTAAGTACCATGGAGTCAGTTCTGACTCATAGTGACCCTATACAGTCCGAGGCTGTAAATTTTTACGGAAGCAGAAAGCCTCATCTTTCGCACACAGAACGGCTGGTAGTTTTGAACTGCCAACCTTGAGGTTAGCAGCCCAATTCATAACCACTACGCTACCAGTAGATATACTAAAAATCATTGAATTGTATATTTTAAGTGGTTGAATTACATGTATGTGAATTATATCTTAATGTTATTGTTGTTAAGTGCCATCGAGTAGTTTCTGACCCATAGTGACCTTGGATAGGGTTTCCGAGGAGTAGCTGGTGAGCTTGAACTGCCAAACTTGCAGTTCAAACTGCTTTGCAATCTGGCGCATCAATCCACAGTGCCACACCAGGACTCCTATATCTTAATAAAGATGTTAAAAACAATAAACATACAACCTATATTGAAACGTATTCTGCCCCTTTCCTAATGAACTGAATAGGTGGGTTTCAAATTAAACTTCCTAAAATATATAACCAAAAAACCCCCCAAACCCAGTGCCTTTGAGTCATTTCTAACTCATGTCACCCCTATATGTTGTTGTTGAGTGACGCTGAGTTGGTTCAAACTTATAGTGACCTTACATAGGGTTTCTGAGGTAACTCTTTATGAGAGCAGAAAGTCTTGTCTTTTTTTCCAGTGGTGAGCTCAAACCACAAACCTTGTGCTTTGCAGTCCACTACTTATTCTACAGTGCCACACCAGCACTCCTTGGACCCTCTAGGAGATAGGGTAAAACTGCCCAATATGGTTTCCAAGGCTACAAATCTTTACAGAAGCAGACTACCACATCTTTCTCCCACATAGTGTCTGGTGGGTTTGAACTATTGACCTTTTAGCTATCAGCCGAATGCTATAACAGGCAGGTCACTAGGGTTCCTCATTAAATATACATGTTAAAAAATCTACAGTGTCATCAAAACAACAATGAGATAGTATCTCACACCAGCAATAACAGTGAAGATAAAAAAAGTAGAAGACAATAAATGTTGGCAAGGATGCGGCGAGACTGGGACGCTCCTGCATTGCTGGTGGGATTGCAAAATGGTCCAACCACTCTGGAATGCAATATGACGCTTCCTCAGAAGGTTGGAAATAGAAATTCCTTATGATCCAGCAATTCCTCTGCTTGGTATATATCCATAAGAAATATGAGCCATAACACGAGTAGATATAAGGACACCAGTGTTCATAGTAGCACTATTTACAATAGTAAAAAGATGGAGACAGCCAAAGTGCCCATCAATGGAAGAATAGATAAACAAACTTTGGTACATACACACAATGGAATATTATGCTACCTTGAAGAATAACAAGGAAGCTGCAAGCCACCCGCATAATATGGATGAACCTTGAGGGCATTACGCTGAGTGAAATTAGTCACAGAAGGAGAGATACTGCATAGGATCATTATTGTAAAAGATTAAGAAAAAGTACCCACACTAAAAGGGGAAAAAAAAAATCTTTGCTGGCTACTGGGGTATATGGGGCCGGGTGAGGGGAGGAAGGGGAATGTAGAGCACAGAGTAGGGAATAGATACAGGATAGTTTGGGTGCTGGCGGGGGTGGGGGGAGCAGTAAACAAGAAGTGGGAGGGGAACAGAAGAAGAAGGCGTATGGGAGAACAATTAGGCAGGTTTGCATGGGTTAAGTGGGACAGAAGTAAATAATGATGTATGCTCAACCTTGGAACAACAGGGCTCTGGGATACAGGGATTGAGGCATGGGTTGAATGGGTAAAAGAGGGGAAATAATGTTACGATGCTTGGCTGTCTTTTGAATCTTGGTTTCCCTTGCCTACTTTTGTAAAGTGGACACTTGAGGGGGAAAGAAAGGAGTACCCAGAAACATCACCATAGAAAGCTTGTAAGTATGTCTTTAGCCTAAAACTGATAGGAATACTTAAAATAGGGCTAGAACTTGCCAAGTGAAGGAGGCTTCCTGTGGAGTGTTTGCATTGCATAAGACCATAGGTGGAATCCTGATCCCCATCCAGAATCTTCTGAGGTGGGAAATTTCCACTTGAAAGGACAAGTAGACTAGCCTGGAGAGGCTATAAGAACAGAAGAAACTTCTTGAAAGAAAGACCAGCAGGAAAAATCAAAAACAATAATGGCAGGCTGATTGACTACTACAAGAACAAGCAAGTTGTTCACCTGGGAGCCATCAAGACAAGCAGTCAGGTCCCCTCAGGACAAAACCCTCTTCCAAGACTGAAACTCAAGGGGAATACATGAGCAGACATGTAGTCTTGCTGGTGACCACGTTGGTCTACCGATAAGGGGAAGTGGGGGAAAAACAGCAATGAAATTGTGAGCTAAGTCCTACCACGTTCAATAGACCCTGTCAACCTGGGTTGAGACCTAGTTGGCCAGCAGTATGGTGAGATCTGGGGACTCCCGGGCCCAGGGACAGGGACATGGCCACAGAGGACTAGAGTGGAGAGTGAAGCATTCAGCTGATATGAAGTGAGGGGAGATGCACAAAAATACCCGTACTTGCAGAAAGTACCCACTTGACCTGGCTTCAACGGCTGGATGATCAGAACTCGACTAGAGAAAGAAAGAAGAGGAAAAGAAGAGTAATCCGCTATAATTTGATGAACTTGACCTATACCTGTGGTTGTAGTAACTCAAAAGAGGGAACAAATCTTTACAGTGAGGATCATTCCCACCCCCTTGGTACACAGGGTTGACAGGGATGGGCAACTTAGACATT